CAAGGAGCACACCAAACTACAGTAAAATAAGTACGGAAAAAATTGTGACAGGGAAGGCATGATAGAAGTATATAGGAAATGTGAATAGGCCAGGGCAGATGGGGAGATACCACAACTGTTTAGCACACGTTTGGTCAAAGGATGGGCTTCACTTGTCTCTTTGACGAGTTGTAATATAGTGCTACGAATGGCGAGCCTCACTGACGATGCCGGCGCAACGTCTGGGAATGTACCATGCCCACGGTCCTACTCTGGAAATGATGATGCAATGGAATATAGACTAGATGCGTTCCTCTAAGTCTTCCTACCAATATGGCCATGTTGCGAAAACAAGGTCAAACAACTTCTAGACAACGAAAGAAGACTGCGAACACACAAAAGCCCACACCATCTTGGTCTTCATACCTTCGATTAAGACAAAAAAGCCTGAAGATTTATTGAGTTAGATAAAGGGCAAAAAATTCCATTACTGTCAGGTACGAGCAAGAATGAGTGATAAATTGGATAAGACATATTCCAGAGAAAATAAAAACGTGATGAAGGGATTTTATGATTAAATCTATCGCTAAAAATACTTTTACGTAGTTACTCTGGAAACTCTCCTAGTATTATACCAAATATATATGAAGGAAAAGAGATTTTCCGGGAAAATTGGCAATTAGGGAATCAGAGACATCCTTATATCCGATAGTTTAAAGCAACTTTTTAGACAAATGTCTGCTTTTGTAATACATCTTTGAGATTTGTATTAGTGGAAAAATGCCCCGAAACGTATTAATCAAGTCAAACATATTGAGAAGGATTTATTATGAAATATAATTATTCCAATATTCATAAAATTAAAAAATTTACTAAATAAATTCTAGTTCAAATCACAAACAATTTTTAGATTCGCAACTTAGTAAGAAGGCTTAGAGGAACGCACCTAGTCTAGAGTCCATTGTATGTATCATCATTTCCAGAGTAGGATTGTAGATGTGGTACATTCCCAGACGTTTCGCCGGCATCGTAGTCGGCATCGTCAGTGAGTCTCGCTATTCGTAGCACCCTATTACAACTCGTCAAAGAGACAAATGAAGCCCATCCTTTGACCAAACGTGTGCTAAACAGTTGTGGTATCTTCGCTTCTGCCATGGGCCATTCACATTTCATATATCCTACTATCATGACTTTCCTGTCACTATTTTTACCATGCTTATTTTTTATGTAGTGTTGTGTGCTCCTTCGAGGAGCATTCATAAAAACCCTTCACACTCCACACTGTCATTATCACCCTCTTCACGCTTGTGCTGGGAATGTGGACCATAGTCTGTCATATTGTTATGTAGTCCTCCCCTGGGTCCTATCTCCCTGGTAGATGTATTTCACTCGATCCCTGTACCCCCCATCTGTGCTACTCGTGGTGTAATTCGTCCATCCCCTGCACCTGGTTGATTGATTAGAGGCTCAAGCCTCAGAGTAAGTCTAATGGTCATGCCTTTGCCACATGGACCACGTCTCTTGTAAAACCTACTGTCAGCCAACTAGCTCCAATTGCCGCCTTGTTTATCCTGTCTCTATTCCTAATACCATGACTTGTCATGCCCTAGTTGTTTGTGTGCCAGCCCACAAATATTGTGGTACTGCTGGCTTTGATTAGGTTCAATGTTGAACCACAACGTTTGTGGGTTGGCACACAAGCAACTATGGCATGGCAAGTCATAGACTTGGTATTAGGGATAGACAGGATAGACGAGACGGATATTGGAGCTAAATGGCTGACAGTAGGTTTTACAAGAGACGTGGTCCATGTAGCAAAGGCATGACCATGAGACTTACTCTGAGGCTTTGCCTCTAATCAATCAGCCAGGTGCAGGGGATGGACTAATTACGCCTCAAATAGCACAGATGGGTGTGGGGCATGGGTCGAATGAAATACGTGTACGAGGGAGGTAGCAGACGGATTTGACGGGACAAGAGAGAGACTTTGATAGGACCCAAGGAAGGACTACCTAACAATATGATAGACTCTGGTCAACATTCCCAGCACAAGGGTGAAGGTGGTGATAACGACAGTGTAGAGTGTGAAGGGTTTTTATGAATGCCTCTCGAAGGAGCACACCACACTACATACAATGGACTCCAGACTACGTGCGTTCCTCGAAGTCTTCCTACCAATATGACCAAATTGCGATAACAAGGTCAAACAACTTCTATACAACGAAGGGAGACTGCGACCACCCAAAAGGCCACACCATCTTGGTCTTTATACCTTCAATATTTAGATTCATTGACTTCTAAATATTTCGGTTTAGTGTTTATTCGGGTCAAAATAATGTATATTACGTAAATACATTTTGTATCCAGGTAGCAAGGAAACTGAAACTTGTAAATGTGTTTGGGGGCCAGGTATTACAAGCAGGCTAATATTTTAATTCAAAAAAGATATACACTATAATAGTAATGCTTTATCACTAATTATTATAGTTTTATTTATATTTGACTGTATCAAAGAGCATAATGGAACTCTATTAAATAAAGAGTGACAAGTATGTATGTGAAAGGAATTGCATCAAGCCGAAGACATTACATACAACATTGACTTCTATAATACTTCCATTAAAAAGGAATGTGAGTTAATGTAAAAAAAGCAAATGTTTTTACAAAAATTAGCAAATTCAAAAATGGCCCTCCTTATCCAATATTTAAAAAATTATGTACCTACTAGATTAATGCCTGAGTCAACGAAAAGCCGATGCTCAGATGAAGAATTTCGTAAGGCGAATGCGCTCTTATCGTGCAGATTTGTAAGCAAAACTTTGGGCTTAGTTGAGTCAGAGGCGGAAGGGAAAGAGCAAGATGGCAAGGTCTGATTTGCTAAGGTCTGCAGAGAAGCCAATGAAGGCAAAAGGGACACTATGAGTTGGAGTTCAGTAAGGAGGCCAAGGCGAACTATGGTGTCATATGCACGGACATAGCCACCCTGGTGATGACCTTCAAGAGCGGCAGCACTGAGATCATGCATCTGGTCTAGGCGGAGGCGGGAAATCATATCATGCCAGTCTCGCGTGACTCTGCCCTATAAACGATGAGAAAAGATAAAAATGATGAGAGCATAAAGAAGGCACTTAGTTAAGACCCGATGAATGAAATCGTTAGGAATAGTAATAGTACAAAGCAACTGCAAAAGTAATAAATTCATGATAAAAATAAGTTCTCAGGCTTTGGAAAAAAATTGATGAAATGGGGGACTATGTTGGGTACAGAAAAGATTAAGTGGGAGATATGAAGTGAGAAAATGTTAATCATAGCTGAAAATGCAAGCTACAAAA